AGAGTCTGTTAATCTCAAGATAACACGTCCTCAACACGAACAGCTGCAGAGTCTGTTAATCTCAAGATAACACGTCCTCAACACCAACAGCTGCAGAGTCTGTTAATCTCAAGATAACACGTCCTCAACACGAACAGCTGTAGAGTCTGTTAATCTCAAGATGCTGCTGTCACCACTCTTCAATGTTTTACTTTTAAATTATAAACTAGGATACTGAAACACATGCATGCTTCCTTAAATTATTTTGAGCAACTCAGACAAGAGAAGACCTTGTAGAACATCTGACCTTGGACAAGCTGGAAGAAACATGTTCAGTTGGTGTCATAAAGCAGCAAATCCACATGTTGTACCTCGTTTCTCTCCACCAGGGAGCATTAGTCACATTCATAACCTCAACTTAGTTAAACTTCCATCTGCTTGTAAACCATCAACTTGTGTCAACTGGTTTTCTCCCGACAGATTCATCTTAGATTACAATGTTGCAGCAGATTAATTAAACTTTAGAGGCCCTGCAGATGTGATGCTTATGGAAACGGCATGAATAACTTGTGTCTTTTAGAAAATTTGAACATTTTGGGTAAGAAACACCAGTTGTGTTACTGTTTTCAATGGTTGTTACTATTATCTTTGGCTCTCGCTGCCGCTTCGTTTACTGAAATATTAAGAAGAAAAATAGTATTTTCTTCATATTTCCTAAGTGGTGAATCATATATGCAGATAAAAAACTCAGTTCTAGTCAAAATAAATTGAGTTTCGCTAATATTGAAATGTATAAGCTATGTTTGAATTAGCCAATAAAAAGGCCACGATTTGATTACTGTCTAATAATGCAGACTTTTAAAAAACAAAGTTATACATTAGATTTTTTTATATATGGCAGTTTGTTGATTATTTAATTAAAGGTCCATTATTTCTTAAAAACTACATTTCATCTTCCATTCAGACAAAGATATATACTATGACTGTGATGAGAAGGGAGGGAGTAATAGCTGTTATAATTATAAGTAAAAAATCAATCACATATGTTGCACAATTGTTAACGTGCATAAAATGTGTTAAATGACTCTCAGCTACTACCACACTTAAGTTTCAGTGCCTGTTAAAATGCTGTAGAACTGACTGAGTTATAACTATTTTTTGTGCTGGTCATCTTAAATTCAAGTGTCTCCAGAGCTGTAGGTGAACATCAAGTTTCATTAAATTATGTTCATTCAAATGAAATGTTTTGCTAACAGATGGATTCAGGGTTGATACCAAAAATTAAAGACAACATTTTAGGCATAAATATTACACTATAAGTAATGCTTGACGTCCATGTTTGAGATTTATACTGAGCATCCGCCACACCAAAGTTTTGTTCCAGATCTGAAAAGCTGAAGAAGTTTTGGCCGTTTCTGGATTTAGCCAAGTTCTCGTAGCTGTGGCGGCCATCTTGAATCCAGCCGACTCTAAAAGCTAATCATTTACAGATGTACAATTATTAAGTGCTTCTTTGAAGTTTCAACAGAAAAAAGTAAAGTGGTTCGTGAGACATTTTGCCAAAACTACAGGCAAACGAAGACGCACAAACAACACGATCGCACTTTTGAAAGAGATCAATACAAGACAATGCTGTTAGCAACTAAGCTAACCGTTAGCTGCACAAAACATTCCCAGCTAACTCGCTAGCTAACGCAGTAAAGTTTTTAAAATGAACAGTGAAGCTAAAATGTTCTCCAGCGTGTAACGAGACTAAAACTGCAGCAAGAGCACGTAGCATAATGTAAATAAGAGTTGTAAGGCTTTTAAGGCTTTACCTTCCTTTCTGTGGGACCAAGAGCGTAAACTCTCATTGTTTCTCGCGAGACGTAAAGCTCCGAGCGCAATCCGGAGCGCTGAGCTACAAGTAATGTGGCTCGCACGAGCGCCTGCTGTGGAGAAGGCAGATGGTTTGTAGATCTACTGCTGTACTTTGCAGCTGTTTAAAGACGTATAATGTGTTTACTTATCTGTTATTTATTTGTAATGTTTGATAATTGCAAAAACGCTTGACGAAGGATTCGCTTGGCTGAATTTATTCATTTTTCCGCATTTTTGGTGAAATTCGATGTTAGAAAAAAACGGTGTTTGCTCGATTCTTTAGGACCTGCACGTCTCCAACCCGGTCTTGTGCAATAACGTGGTTTAAAGACTGTACTTTACTGCGGTGTTTAAAGGTCTGTACTTTTTGAAGACATGTAGTTTTACCTTTTGCTTGTAACTATTTATGTAGTGTAGTGAAGGAAGTTTTATATTTGATCGATGTGTTACTACTGCAGCAGCCATGACTCAGGCTACACAACTTTAACAAGAGACAGTCTTTTATGGCGGACTTTGACACTAGTGTTAATTACTGCTGTGTAATTCATGATGAAATAGATCCTTGTATTGATTGCTGGACTGACCTTTTAGCTGTGGACTAGCTCTTTCAGATAAACTCATAAGGTTGTTCCTATCAAAGGTGGTCCAGCTCCAGTTCAGACCCAGCTGAGGCTCCACATGGCACCTGTCCGGGTTGTGGTTGTTGGAGCAGGTGTGGTGGGCCTCTCCACAGCTGTCTGCATCTCTGAAGCTTTGCCTTCCTGCTCAGTCACTCTGGTGGCTGACCGCTTCAGCCCCGACACCACCAGTGATGGAGCAGCTGGGATTGTGCTCCCAGCTGAATTTCCAGGTGGGATTTAGGATTTACAACAGGGGCAATATTGTTATTTTGTCCCATGCTGATTATGTGCAACCTTGTCTGTTTGTTAGCAAAATATCTTCATAACTACTAGCATTTATTTAAAGCTTGCAGAAAGTAATCATCGGATAAACCTTTTCAACTAATTAACTTTTGAAGTGAACTTGATTCAAATTAAATTGTACTGACATTTTCTCCTCAGATATTCCACTGGAGAGACAGAGACGCTGGTTCAAGGACAGCTTTGATCACCTGCTGGAGATTGCTCAGTCCCAACACTCCCCAGATGCCGGTGTGATTCTGAGCTCTGGGTAACGTTCCACAGATCCATAAACCAGATGTCTCGTCCAACTCACCCATAAAATCAGTCTGTCTGTCTTGGCTGATCTTCTTCCAGGTGGCAGATTTTTAAGGAGGTTCCAGCTGAGAAGAAGCCCTTCTGGTCAGAGTTTGTAATCGGCTTCAGGTTCATGACTGACGGTGAACTCAAACGTTTCCCAGATCACAGGTTCGGCCAGGCGTTCACCACAGTGAAGTGTGAATGCTGCAGCTACCTGCCGTGGCTCGAGAAGAGGTTCGTCTTCTGCGTTAAAACCCAACATCTGAAGCATCACAAATAAACATAAAGCAGTAGAGTTGCAATGATGTAGCATCATCAAATTATTATTTTTAAGGTTTAGGAGAGCTGGAGGTCTGGTGGAGAAGAGGAAAGTTAACAGTCTTCAGGAGTTGAGTCATTTTGACCTCATCGTGAACTGCTCTGGCCTCGGCTCCAGAACGTTAGTTGGTGACACACACGTGTACCCGGTGAGAGGCCAGGTCCTCAAAGTGGAAGCCCCCTGGTTGAAGCACTTCATCAGAGATGGAGATGGGAAGACCTACATCTATCCCGGTGTTCACGGCGTCACTTTGGGTGGGACGAGGCAGGAGGGGGACTGGCGCCTGCAGGTGGACCGAGGAGAAGCCGAGAGCATCCTGGAGCGCAGCAGCCGGCTGGAGCCGTCGCTGACAAAAGCCAAAGTTCTCGGTGAATGGGTCGGTCTGAGGCCGGGCAGGAGGAACCTGAAGGTGGAGCGGGAGGCGGTGTACCTGCAGGGTCGCTGGGTGCCGGTGGTCCATAACTACGGCCATGGGGGCTTTGGGGTCACCCTCGCCTGGGGCACCGCCTTGGACGCCCTAGGACTGGTCAGGCAGTGCCTGAATGAAAAGCCTCAGCAGGCCAAACTGTGACCAAACCCCGTCTTCCCTCACTGCCAGTAATGAACTAATTAAACTTTAATGCTGCTCTTAATTACTTTAAGATACACACAGAGCACTTAAAGTAACAGTTCAACCTTTTCTTCTGGTTGCCTCCTTCTGTTACAATGAGTAAACTCACATTAAAAGATTTGAGTTGCTTTACCCAGGATGCCCTTCCTGTCCCAACCTGGGCTTGAACCTACGGCACGGACCACTGAGCTACAGCACATACTGTAGATAAATGCATGGACATAAATTGGTCTACTGGTCATACAAGCGCACAAGGTTTGCATTTTTAGTCTCATGGGACAGCTCCACTGCAGGGTTTATGAACGTGTGATGTGAACAGGTGTGGGCACACCTGCACACCAAACTAGCTCAGTGTCTGTAAATCTTAAAGCAGCTTGTGTAGGCTACAGTGAGCTGGCTGTGGCAGCCATCTTGAATCAGATTGACTCAAATTGTTAGTCATCCGTAGCTTTACTGCTGGATTTATCATCATACCCTGTAAAAACATGTTTTAATTAAAAATAAACTCAGACGAGCAGAAATAAACAGACTTTTCATTTACTTGTTTTTAATGAACACATTTTTATTGTTTCATTATTTAGTAAGAATATACAACCCCATTTTTCTAAAAGTTGGGACTTTGGGTAAAATAGAAATAAATACAACGATTTGTAAATGTTATAAATCTATATTTTATTCATGACGAGACAGTAAAGGAATGCATCGAAGTCAAAACTATACCTTTGATGGGGAGGCCATTTTGAATCTGCTCAACACGTTAAAAAAAAAGATGTTCCAGGTCCATGTTTCCCCTCTAACATCTGGAAACATCCAGGACCTGAGGAGACCAGATGTTGGAGGTTTTACAGGACCTGATGAGACCAGGTTCTGGAGGTTTTACAGGAC